CGACCTGACCTGACCCGGCCTGGCCTTACTCTGTCGTGGCGGTCCGCCGCACGGTATACCCTCTGACGTACTGTTCTGTGGATAGCTCGGCGCGCTGGGCCGTGTGAGGGGGCGGTTCTGCTCCACCGGTCGGCTCGTGATCCGGTCATCTATTTCCATCGAGGCAGGGGCTCCGGGGACCGGGCGCGCTCCATCTGTCGGCGTCTTTGTTCCGGCTCGTGCTCGTCGCCTGCTGCCCAGCAGCGCCTACCTGGCGGCAGCGGCCGACGTCGCAGCCTTCGAGCGTCGGGGGCGGGGCCTGGTGCCGCCGTCAGCTGGCTAACGCTGACGTCACGGCTGGTCGAGAGAGGAGTGAGCGATGCGGCCACGGGAGGCGCGGTAGGCGGCGGCTGGGTCGCGGTGTGAAGCCCAAGTGCGTGTGTGGTGACCCGCCCCTCGTCGGTGACCCATCAACGCGCGCGACGAACATGCCGCGCGCTTCCGGTAGGTGGAATCGCGCCGCAGTGCGCCACGCCAGCGCGTTTTCTGCGCGCATTGGCTGCGCCAGCGCGCGGCGGCCGCCAGCCGTGGCAGCTCTGCCGGGCGAGTCTATTCGGGCGGCGCGGGGGGATCCGCGGCGACGGCTGTGTGGTCGGCGTTGCACGCCGCCCGAGCGTCGTGCAGGCCGGGTCGCGGCCGCCCCCGGTCGATGTCTCGTGACTGCGTCCGCGCCCGCTCCGACCGCCCGGGACCGCGGCCGCGACACGCCGCGGGCAACTCGTGCGGCGCACGCGAGGTTATTTCCGGACGGGGACGGCCCGGCCGCCGCCTCCCATCGACGGTGTGGGCGGCCGGCATCTGAAGGAATGCGGATTGTTGGCGAGGTTTTGGGGCTCCACTGTGGTCTTTGTGGGGGGGGGGGGGGGGGGTTCTCGGCGCTTTTGGGTGACGCAGGGCAAATGCGACGATCAGGAGTCAGGACCGATGCGTTTGATTTGACTCAGCTAACTTGAGTTTTGTAGAGTTTGGGAGCCACCACGGGGCTAAGTAGCGAAGCTGTTTCCGTTGCTGGTTATATTTCCATGCAATGCCGCAGACGCGAGGTTTCATTCCGTGAATTTTTCGGGACACGTTCCCCGCCGTCTCAGGCTGTGAAGCCCCTCGACTGTGTGGCTACGTGCCACGTGGAGTAGGTCACGTTGGTCGGAGCTTAGACCTCCAGCATTTTCCAGCCGCGGCGAGCGAGGGTCATTTCGGCCGTCCAGTCGCCTGGATTTACATTAATCCTCCAGCGAATCGCACCTTGGCCGTGGGCCACTATCGGCTCTCTCCCGGATCTGAACGTCGTATCCACTTCAGTCCCTGGCGTATTCTGGTCCCTCACCTAGCTCGTGACCGCGACCCCCTGGGGCGGTGGCGCAGGGGTGTACGCACATGCAGCCCCCGGTGGCACGTGCCCGTCTTAGCCAGATTTGTGGCTTGTGTTAATATGTGGGGCCACATGGGCTACATGGTTAAATGTTGGCAAAACTGCAGATCGACGCGTGCAATTCGGGGGAATATTTGTATTGCATCCTTGAATAGCCGTTTTGGGCACCTGATTCCTGCCTGGCACCTAAATGCTGAGCCGTTCCTATCTACTACCCCTTAGACTAAATGCTGGAGGAGTGCCTAATGTTGCCAGATATCTGGCGTAACCTGTTGCAAATTGCAGTATTCAGCGCGTATTTCATTTTGGACCCCTTACTTCGATAGTTTTCTCACATAAGTACGTAGTTTGCCCGTTGCAGGGGCGGTGGAATTTGTGCGAGCTGGGAGGGCAGTCGGATTGCAAGTGAATTCTTGTCACGCGACACCACAGAGCAGGTCTTCAATTTCTCCAGTTTGCGGAGGGGGAGGGGCGAATGTGCCTCTTCCCTTCCGTCGTCGTCGACAACCCAGCCCTCCCGCTACACACTCGCCGGGCGAGGGACCTAGACGTCCGCAGGCGGACTCGTCGGAGGTAAATTTCTGCGTCACTAGCTATTTTCAACAACATGCATTGCCATAGATATAATGTACGATGCTAGGTAAAGTTTTTCCACAGCATTGCTTTTTTCCCTATCCTGCATACGGTTGCAGACAAGCGCGGCATAGCAGGAGTTGGCAGAGGGGACATCTGCCCCCTGCCGGCGGGAAGGGGATCGAGAGTATGTTTTTGGCCCTCGCCAATTTTTGGGAAGCTCCTTTTCCACAACTCAAGGCATTGCAGTTACCCATACACTACGAAAATGTGGGTCAAGAAGGCGCATAACTGAGCTAGAGCGTAGTAAGTCGGGTTCAGATGACCATTTTCTACATTAAGAGGCGTATTTTCTGGATCGTGAGGCGACCTTTATAAACAAGATAGTCCATGCCCTAGATCAGAAGGCCCAAAGTTTTGTGAAAGAGGTCTCTGCTGGCTCGGGAGGCCATCGTTATTAACATTAAGGCCCTGTTCTGGGTTACGAGGCATCCTCTTTATTCAGTAGGCCGCATTGCTGAAACAGGAGACCTCTTGCCATGCATCAGATAGCCGCGGCTCCAAATCATCATGTTTGCGATAACGTGGCCCCGTGATTAGATTCGGAGGCTGCTTCGTGGATGGGAATAATCCTGTTAAGTGTCGATATTGATTGACTTGGATATGAGGAATGTAACAGTTTGATAAAGAAACACATCGGTACCCCTCTTCTTTGAATACGACACTACCCAGAAGGCCGTCCTGTGAGGAAGGGTCTCCCGTCCTCCATTTTGTCCAGGAGGCCCCTAATGCAAATCCTGCTATTTCCCAACTCAAAATCCGTAGCGCCCCCTGGTTACGGGCATATGCAAGTCTAGCGTGCAGGAGAACTGGTAGCAAACTAGCACAGTATATCCCATAAATCCCCTTCTTCTCCTTCAGATTAAGTTTTAGTACTAGACAGGGAATAACTTAGCATCCAAAGGAAATACCTGTAGATTAAGGTGACAGGCATGGGGAAAATTGGTGTCAGAAAGACCAAAACAGTGCCGTTTCAAGGAATGGTACCACACGTCGTCAGATAGGCGATGGAACAACAATTTGGTGTCTAACAGCCATTTGGTGCCGGTAACAGCTTTTCTGGGACCACGTTAAATGACTCCCAAAATCAGAAGATCGGGAACATGGGATGTCGTACGATACATAGAAATTGCGCGAGCCTGCGGCGCTACGTTCAGCTTCCAGCGAACATTATGAGTTATCCCCCTGCAGTGACGTATTCAGGAGGGACCGGTGGCATGTGCCCCTTTTAATTTTTTATGTTGCATGTATTGATGTGCGCGTGCATAATGTCGACAGCTCAAAAATCAAGGTAGACACCCAAGATTGCGTACATTGAAAGCGTGCGGTGTTGTTAGGTACCAACCAAGAAATGTCACACTCCTGCGGTGAGGTGAAACGGGCTTTCAGTGAAAATTTGAAGTTGCACTTCACTTCTGGGAGATCCCTATATGCCCTGGGCGTGAACGGTCAGATCGTTCGAGCGGAGAACCTTCTCTGATTCACGTGCCTCTCTCAACTACGTTGGCTAAGTGCTGGGAGCTGCTCTGGTTTCCTCTGACGCGCTTTCGTCTGAACACCGTGTTCCCCGCCACCCCCGGCGTACGGCACCTGACCAGCCGAGTCCGGACGGCCCTCCGGCGTCTCCGAACCCGAACGCGTCGGCCGCCTGACCCAGCTAGCGGCGGACCGGGCCGGGCCGGGCGTCAGCCGTGACGCCGCCGACAGCTCCTGCCAGCGTCGGCCACGGCGCGACACGGCGTGACACGGCGCCGACGACCTCCGGCGGCGCGCGCTGTTTACACGGGCGTCAGCCGGGCGGACGGCTGTCGGCCGGCCTGGGCGCCGCAGGCCGCCGACGCCCGTCGGTGGCGGGCCGGCCGCTGCGGCCGGGTCCGGTGTCGGGCGTGTGATGTTCACTGTCACGCCAGCCAGCTGCTGTGATGCCATCACTGTCACGCCAGTCAGCTGCCGTGATGCCATCGTGGCAATCATGCCCACTGAATGGCCTGTCAGGTCTGCTGAAGGGGCCTGTCAGATCCATCGCAGGCCCTGCCAACGCCCGTGTTGGGACCTGCGAGCATGGGTAGGGCTTTGCGTCTCCTCCGGGCGCCTCCCTGTTACCTTTTTCGACCGCCTTTATGGCATTACAATCATCAAAAGTTGCTAAAACCACCAAAACACTGCTTTCGGTTTGTGAGTTTTCTTGTAGGCATCCCCCCCCCCCTGAATCCGTTCTGCTTCTCGGAACAAACGGTTCAAAACTTTCAAGCACAACGCAGGTTTCCCGAGCCTAACATATGTCAACAGCGTCGGGGTTCTGAATGGCGTGGCTTGTTTGACTTCCGCGCCACCTGTGTTGATAGTTTGTGTGGAGGGTGAGGCGGGGCAGGACAGGTGACATCTGCTAATGTGCCAGGCCTGAGGGCATTTCACCCATTCGCGCTGCCGTCTGCCGTTGCATTGTCTGGTTCGTCCTGCCGTAATGCGTGTACCAAGCTTCCGCTTCGGAAGCTTGCTGACGCAATATGGTTTTCCTTGGCTTACTTTAAGAGTTATCCAAGCACTTGGCGTCAAAGACACGGGATAGTGGTTGTTCGACTGGATAGTGGATGCCTTGCTTGTGTAGGATGCTGCGAAATGGTATAATGGGATGCGTGTTCTCTTGTTTCATTGCATTCCTGCGACTTGCAGAACAAAAATATTTTCCTGACTGTAGGCCTCAAATGCAAAACAGATGCGGTTTTGTGTTTGTTCTGTAAAAGTTCCTGAATTCCGTAAAAAACTTCATTCGCTATGCATCCGGTACCTGATATGTATCGTGCATACGGAATTCCTCAGGTTATCTCATGATGCTATTTTGCATCCGTGTGCTCATGTGTTTGTGTTCGCGTGCTTAATATAACTTACGCTGCAGGTTTAATTACTCATCGCCATCTCGCCCGACGCGTTCGTCACACTCGCTCTCGTCTGTTCGCAGAGCAAGCGGGACACGTTGATGGTGAATATCAAGTGGTTTTACCGGGTGTGTGAGCTGCCGGAGAACGTGTACCAGCTGCTGGTGCAGGACCGCACAACGGAGCACGACTCGGGCTTGGCCGTGCAGGACCCGGCCGTCAAGCACCGCGAGCTCTTCATCTCCGACGCCACCGACACATTCCCCGTCGCAGTTCTCAGGTGAGTGCTCCGCGGCCGCTGGGCCCGCTCGCCGCTCTCGGGCTCGTGTTGGCCGCTGCTGCTGATGTGCCTTCGGTTGCTGCACGCAAGGCCAGGTTTTCCCGAACCGAAAATGCGACCTTTGTTTTGTGTTTCGGAATTGTGTTGCACAAGAACACGAACCGGAAAGAAGCTTATTTTGCCTGATCTCTCCATTCGTAAGCCATTTACGAGCAGGACTCTCCGGTCTCTGGTCTATGAGTCAAGCGACGCGAATCAAAAGCGCGCGGATTCGCACCTTCGTTTTATGCATCAAAGCCCAGGGCGGGACCAGGCTCTGTTCGTAGATCCCCGTCGCTGCGCTGAGGCTGGCGAGTGTGCAGTCCGCGCATGACCAGCTGACGTGCTTAAGCTGATACCGTGTCCGTCGTCGCGGCTCCCATTACCGGACTCGGAAAGTGATTGGGTCGTTTGGCGCGGGCGTCGTGGCCAAGTGAGCGGCTGGCGCGGGTGCGGAGTTGCCAGGTATGCCATGTGCGAACAGGGCGGATAATCGATGAATCGGGGACGGGGAGTGATTAGCTACCGGGCCACTGATTGGGTTAATGGGACTGTTACAGCTAATGCGCTTTTAATGGGCTCGAACGTATCGTAAAAGTATGCCTTTTCCATTGAATCACGTAGATTGTAAAGGCAGACAACTGCCGTTTAGCAACTGATGAGCCAAGTCATCCCTTGCGTGAGGGGCTGCATGAGGGGAGCTGCTTGCTCTACTTAAAGCTAAGTATGCTGCGGAAAGGGCCTTGTTAAGCCCCGCTGGGAGAGACTGCGTTGTGACGAGAAGGTGGTGAGACTGGTGAGACGCAAGTATCATCAGGTTGCGAGGGGACTGCTCTCTTTTCGAGAGGCATAAGCAGCCTGAAGTGACAATTTGGTCGGAAAAGCTCGCGCTGACGCTGATTAGACCCTAAAAACAATTGCATTTACCGTTAGTTTGCGTGCTTTCTGCCCCCCTTCGCATATATATATATATATATATATATATATATATATATATATATATATATATATATATTGGGGGATCAGTCCCTCAGTTTGTTTGGCACCCATCCATCATCCTTCCGTCCGTTGCTGCCAGCCGACGGCAGCCGACGCTTGGCCGCGCCCCCGGCCTCCAATGTCCTTCGGACGAGGGGCTCGAGCCGCCGAGCCGCGGCATCGAGCCGCCAGCGCCGGCCGAACGATGCGCGTGACCGCGAGCTCGAACTGCCGCTCAGCAGCCGACGGATCGCCGTCACGAGCGGCGGCCTGGCGTGTCGCGGCGGCCGACGCGGCGAGGAGCGCGGCCCGATCTGACCGGCCGGGCGCCCGGCGGGTCTGAGCCGCCGCTGATCGGGCGCGCAGATGACGCCGGCGCCGCGTCGGCCGCGGCAGCGCGGGGCTCTGCGCCGCGCGCCGAGCGTGGTGAACGGGTGGCGCTGCGGTCGCTGCGGTCGGCGGAGCCTGAAAGCGTGTGGGATGCAGCCGTGAATGGGTTGGTGGGGCGAGCGTGGCGTGACGCCGCTGGAAAGTCGTGAGTGCACTCCATGCGATGAAACGAATGAGCGGAGGTCGCCATGTATGCACCCTCCGCAATTGTCGCTGGGCATGCACGCCAATTTGTTGTTTGCTCAGTCGACCGGCGCTTTGTTTGCGGTCCACCTGTCACCACTTGGCCCCACATGGCCGCTGTCTCGGCGTCGGCGGATGGTGGCCGGGTTTAGTGGTCGGTCAGGACCGCAGTGTGCCCCGCCGCCCCGTCTGAACCCGCCGCTCTCACGCCAGGGGCCCGTGCAAGGTGATCCACTACAGCGACGTGCGCAAGGTGCGCGAGTACGCGCCGGCCACCGACACCTTCTTCTACGTGCTGACGTACAACCCGGAGACCCGCAGGCTGGCGTCCACGCAGGGCGAGATCCGGGTGGGGCCATCACACCAGGTCAGTGCCGCGCCGCTGGGCTTCGCCCGCACACGGGCTAGCGGTCTGGGTACACGGAGCGCAAGGTGTGTCGTGATATTAACGACTGATTTGCCTGCATTCATGCTGTCGCACATTCGGTCACAGTCATTCGGGCAATGCTGGCCACGTCACCATGCCGCCATGACTTGATGCATTTGGTCAGTTTTAATTATGTGAATGCAGGCGCAGGTGGATGCTAGTGCATTTCTTTCATTGGAAATTCATTCCTTAGTCGCACGACCACCATGCAAATATGCTAACGCATTTGTTTCGTGTCAAGTTAATTCCCGAGCGGCGCAGTCCCCGCGGGATATCGCGCTGCAGCCATACCTCAAACTGCTGGCGTGTAGCTTTTTACGGAACAGTGTAGTGCACCTGGGGTTTTGCAATCATTCATCATGTGACCGTGCTCTTCTAATCGCCACACCCGTGTCTCTGTACACGGGCGCACAGGGTGTAACCCATTGACAGTCACGAGGGCCTACGGAGCCTCGTTCCATCCCCCTCACGCGGCCGCCGAGCCCGATACTCGCTGGCGGCCCACGACGCGCGCTCTCGTCCCCGCGAGCCGGCGCTGACCGCCGCCGGCACCGCAGGCGAAGCTGCCCGAGTACCGAGGCAGCCCCCACGCCGGCATCCCGCCACGGCCGACGGGCGCCGAGGAGGAGCGGCTATGGGCGCCGGGCCGCGCCGCCGACTCGGACCTGCTCATGTTCCTGCGCGCCGCCCGCTCGATGGCCGCCTTCGCCGGCATGTGCGACGGTGGCAGCACGGACGAGGGCTGCGCCGCCGCCAGCCGCGACGACACCACGCAGAACGCGCTGGACGTGGTGCGTGGAGGACGCGGCGGGGAGGGGGGGGGGGGGGAGCTGGTGTGACGCTCGGGCGGGGCAGGGAGTCGATCGGTGTGGTGGGCGGCCGGTGGTGATCGGTGGTGTGGGTGGCGCGGGTGGTAATTGTACGTCGATGCGGGAGTGTGGAACGGGTAAGTGGAGGCGCTCGCAGCGGTGTTGGGTGCCATGCGGCTCGGGTGTGGGTGTTGATGTGATGGGCTGGTAGCTGATGTGCGTCGTGATCATGCATTCGTTTAAATTGTATGGTTTTCTGTTGGCACACGGAGTCTCTGCGCTCTGCCTGGGCACGTCTGGTTTGAGTTTGATGCAGCTTAAGCGGCATTGCGAAGTTGAAGAATGAGATCCCGTGCGACCGTAAAACTACAATCCTGAGAAACAACAGCTCACTTAAATCAGTTGGCCGCGCCGTTGACTACGTCACGCAGCCACGCAGACTGGCGCTGCTGGCGACCGAGCCGGACTGTGACGCGCCACCTGTCCGCTGCCCCCAGCTGCACCACTCGGGCTACGACCAGGGCGCGGCGCTGCAGGCGCTGGTCAAGAGCCCGGTGCCGGTGGGCGTGCACCAGCGCTGGACGGACGAGGAGACGGTACGGCTCGCGTGCCGCCGCCGCCGCTGGTCGATCGCGCCCGACATTGGCCGACGGCCGGCCGCCGTTCCTGGCGCATGCGATCCGACGCTCAAACAATGGGAATGAGTTAAAGCTAATGTGCAGCGCCGGTTTAATGCTTGTTGATGTGCGCTGTCGGCTATAATGTGGTTCGCGAGTGATGAAGTGCCCGAGCTGGTGCATTATGGTCATCGATCAGATGTGTGGAAGTGATGCAACCAGTGTGGAGTGTGTGGGCGGGGGTAGACTCTTTAAAGGTTTTTGAGTGTTACTAAACTGATCGACGTGATCTCGTTCCAGAAAAAGTTTGTGAAGGGATTGCGGCAATATGGGAAGAACTTCTTTCGTATAAGGAAGGAGCTTTTAGTACACAAGGAGACGGTAAGCCGCCGCGGGCGCATCGCTGGACTGGTTTGCGCCTAAAACGTTTGAAGAGCTGACCGATGCGAACTGTCTGCTATCGTTTTTGTCTGCTCTTGTTGGTTGCCGACTTTTGGAACATGCAAAAAAGGAGCGTTTTCTCAAGACTAGTTTGGTTTGAAAATTTGCTGCACAGTCCGCTTACCTGGCGAATAATTTGTGTGGCTTCTGTTTCGATGAGGCTGTTCTTAATTATGGCGCAAAGGATCACCTGGCTCTGCTGGTCACCCCGACACTCTGCAGAGCCGCGAACCTGACCTCGTCGTGTATCGCCAACAGAGTGAGTTGGTGGAATTCTACTACCTCTGGAAGAAGACGCCCGGTGCGCAGGGCAACCGACCACGGAATATCGCCCGCCACCGGCGCGCCAACGGTATTCGGCGCATCAAGAACAGAAAGGGCGCCAACAAGACTCACAAGGACGATCCCGGTCAGTGGCGGGGCCACGCCCGGCAAACGTCGCCGGTTCTCTTGGCAGCGTGCGCCACGTTTCGCTGCTGGATTGTGTAGTGCGCCATCAGCGGAGCTGTATTCATGGGTGCACCCGTAATGGATGGAGCAGTCTTACAGTATTCGATTGATGGCTTTCGATTAACCGGGGCTATGACGTTAACGGGCGGGTTCTGATGTGCTAACACACGAGGAACTGGCCGGGTTCTGATTGGTCTGTGCTTTGCAGTGACGCAGTTGTGATTTGCTGCTGTTGCGGTGCCTGGAACTTAGCATCCCCTCTCCCCCCACGTTATGTTTTGTATGACCTGGCGGGCGTGTCAGCCGTGACCTGATCTGGTGAGCGTGTCAGCCGTGGCGTGTCAGCCGTGACCTGATTTGGTGGGCGTGTCAGCCGTGGCGTGTCAGCCGTGGCGTGTCAGCCGTGATCTGATCTGTCGGGCGTGTCAGCCGTGGCCTGATCTGGCGGGCGTGTCAGCCGTGGCCTGATCTGGCGGGTGTTCAGCCGCGACCTGACCTGGCAGGTGTTCAGCCGTGATCTGACCTGCCTTGCGGTTCCAGCGGCGATCGGCTGTGACCTGAGCTCGGCCAGCGAGGCGGAGAATGACGACTCGGATGACTCTGACTCCAACCTGCGCGACTTGTCCGGCTACCACTGCCGCCACTGTTTCACCACTTGTGAGTGGGCTGTTGCTACCTCTGCTCTCAGACGTCATTGCAGCAATTTCTCAACTCGTTGGAGGTGCTCTGGCTGTTGCCTTTGCTTGCCATATCAATCAACGCCAGTTAACTACTCTCGCTGCAACAAGTCACCTCTCTTCGGGCTGCACCTTGGGCTACATACCTCGTTAAACACCCCCGTCAGTGTGTCAACACACATCTGCAACATTTGGCAGCACTCTCACGACCGGCCTCTGGCTGTGCCAACCCAACCCTGCCCCGCCCCGTCGCCGAGCCCGGCCCGCCAGCGCCGCCTCACTCCGTCGGCGGCGCGGCGCGCCCGCCGCGTCCGATTCGGCGGCCCGTCGCCGCCGCTAACCGTGCCTCGTCGGTGCAGCGTCCAAGGATTGGCACCACGCCGGCAAGGAGCACGCGCTGCTCTGCACCGGCTGCCGGCTCTACTTCAAGAAGTACGGCCAGCTGCCGGACGTGAAGGAGCCGCGCGAGCCGCCGTTCGCACTGCAGCCGGCGCGCGAGGAGGCCGGACGCATGCGCACCAGGACCCGCGCCAAGGAGCTGGTGAGTGGCCGCGCGCCGGCGGCTCGGTCGCGCCGGCGCGGCGTCACAGGCGCTGGCGGGACCGAGCGTGTCGCCGACGCCGCGCCGACGGCCGCGGCTCTGGGGCTGCGGTGGAGAAGGCGTACGAACTTGGGTGTCGCGGTTGTTTCTCGCGGGAACGGTTGCACTGCAAGGCACGCTCGCTGGGGGGGAGGGGGGATACTGGGCACGTGAAGCTTACCCGTTGTTTTTCAGAAACAATGCCGACGTGGACGATCTGGCGTGAGGCTGCACTCGCCATCGCTGTGCAGGGCGCTCGTTTACTGCTGGCTGTGATTGATGGCATGTTTCGGTCTGCACGATCCAGTGCAAATGCGAATGATAAACATCTGGTCAGTTGCATTCAGCCGAGCGGCGTGCGAGTGGTCAAGCTCGTACGTGGGACGACGGCGTATTGTTCGATTGCTCGTAGCTCGGATTAGTCTAAGGCTGCGGACGGCAGCTTTTTGTTGAGCGCGAGGCACGTGATCGCACAACCTTTTGAGAGATCCGGCGACTACATCGGTCATGATGGCCGAGTGACCTTCGCCGCGTCACGCCGCATTCTGCAGCCTTTTCATGCCCATAATATTCCCATACTATATTGGAGTCAACACGATGGCTCTGCGATTGTTTGTCGGAGCTGCAATTAAAGAGAACGTCTTTGTTGGGCCCGGGAGTTCGCAGCTGCTTTGAGAACGTATCACTTGTTGCGCGATTACCGATTTAGCATAGAAAATGTAGTTTTCTCCTGTTTGCTCTTTTCTCGGTGACAGAATTCCTCCAGACTAGGTGCCGCTCGATTGGAATTCCTCGGTTGGCTGCCCGGCACGGCCAAGCGCTTATGGCGGAAACCGCTGTTTCGGAGGTCGTTTGTCATGTCAGATCCGGCCCGGATATTATCGCTCTCACTGTGGATCTCTGTTTGACATACAGACAGCTCGGGTGCATTGATGGATCGGCCGTCCGCCAGTCGTAGCGATGCATCACAATTTGCTTGCTTTATAAATAGCCTCATCCTGCAATCGTCGGTTTACCTTGCATATGTCCGTAGCGCCCTCTCCTTGACGTCTCAAAACTCAGCCTAACCTCGCCAGGCATAGATGTCGCCCCGGAACCGCTGCGAGCATCGGCTGTTCCGGCCGTATTCGGCGACCCGCCCCCTCCCCCTCCCCCATTGGTGGACGAACGTACTTCGCTCACGCCTTTAGACCCATTCAGGTGTGCGCAGCGCAGCGCTGTGGGGGGGGGGGGGGGGGGCGGAGGGCGGCTGGCTTTCTGTCCTGTCCCGTTTTACCTCCAATGGCGTGCTGTCAGCGAAACCTGTGGGATGTGTGGACGTTGGCACCCGGCTGCCTGTCCCGGCGCAGTTTTCCGTAAAAGGATATTCTGTTTGATCACGCGCCACGAGGCATGGGCGCACACCGGGGCCAGACGACCAAACCCGATAGCGTTCGTTCCATGACAAAACGAAAGCCGGTGGAAAGGCACATGCCGGACGTGTGTGTCCTGGCTACGCCTGTAAGTCTTGAGAAGCACGTTTATATATTTATTATTGTTGTAACGGGATTAATCGCATAGCAGGAGCCGCTACCGGCCAGGCGCAGTGTTCAAACGGTCTCACACCCAGAGAAAACGTTGAAAAAAAAACGTTGGGGTGACGGTTGTTTTAATGTGGATGCAGTTGTGTCAGTTTATTCAAATCAACCGAGCGCCTCCAGGCTGACACTGCATTGGCGAGTTATGTGACGAACGGTGTCTAAACAGGTATGGCATGGTGTACATGCCGGTGCTATCCACGTGGTGGTATCTGCTAATTTATCAAGTGGTACAAGATGTACGGAGGATCTATGTACCTTATGTAAAACATCAACGCATCTTTAAAGGCCAGCACGTAGTCCGCGTACAGCCAGCAACTTCGCAGTGGGATGAATCGGGAGCGTCAGGCTTTGGTGCAATAGTGCTGAGGCGCGCCACTTTGGGCAACATGTAACCCGAGCCGACGACCGCCACGCCTCAGCACGCGGCCCGAGCCGGTGCGGCGGTGGTCTCGCGCGCCGCGCCAGGACGGCTGGACGGCCGAACTGGGCCGATGTGACCGCGGCGATCCACCGAATGTGACGGCGTGTAGCTCTCTGGAACTCACCGACAGCAGAGAGGCCGGGTGGCCCGCGAACGGACGGTCACGCGTCAGTTTCGCCGGAGGGGAGGACTAATCACCGATGGCACAGTGGTCGGCGTCCTTTCAGTGGTGGCTCGCGGCCGCCCGCCGAGAGGTGGGACCGGCCTCCGGGCGGGTGTCGTCGGGTCGCGCTGGATTAGCGTGAGACGGGTGGGTCGGCACCGGCCACGTGTGCCCTCCCCCCCCCCCCCGCTGCGCTCGGCCGACCCCGAGCGAGAGGGTCGGGCGACCCCGACCTCCGAGCGCGAGGACCGGTCGGTCCGGGTCACCGCGTCAGTATGCCAGGCGCCGGACCGCGACCAGGCCGCGTGACACCTAGAGGAGGAGCGTGTGACACCGGAGGAGTGTGGACGGCACAGGGTCCCCTGGGAACGGAAGAGATGGTGGAGTGGGATGCGTCAATGCTGAGTCAGTTGCGACGTCCGTGGAAGGGTGCGGTGCTGACCCGTGGAAGTGCGGAGCCCTTCGCGACGTGCACAGCCGCGCGCGGGGCTGTACAAGCGTGGACGACTGTGGCGAACCCCGCAGTAGCCACGTTGTGATTTTTGGTTCAAGTGAGGCAGCTGTTCCGAATCGAAACATGGAGAGTCCTGGTTCAGTTCGTCGCAAGGTAGTGCAAAACTACGCGAAGTCAAGAGCGGACTCGTAAGTGGGAATGTTGTGAGCCACAGGGCTTCGTGGAGGACTTCGAGCATGCCATCTCCGGCGGCGTTGTACGGTGCGAGCGGCCTGGGGAAGTGCTCCTGTCATTGGTCACGCACGGATGCGGCCCTCGCGGTGTCTCTTCGCCGCGGGGGTTGACGGCCGGCTCTTCTGAGCGGCCCGGCGCTGAAGATGCACGCCCGGCCTCGCAAGCGGCTCCACCTGGCGGCCAACCTTGGCCAAGGCGCGCGCCGCCCGCCATCGGTACCAGGAGGAGCGTCGCAACGCGCTCCAGCTGAGCATCGACTGGATCGCTTCCGGGCGCCGGCTGCTGGGCGCCGCCATCTACGCCGCGCTGGGGCCGCCGTGTGCTCCTGACGGCGGCGGCGGCGGCGGCGGCGGCGGGGGCGAGCTCCCGTCGACGCCGCGGGTCCAGCTGGTGTCCCCGGCGCGGGTCAGCCGAGCAGCGGGGCGGGCGTCGCAGCGGCGACACAGCCGCCGGTGCGGGTCGCCGCCTTGGCTTGTGCTGAAAGACTGCGTTAATCTTCCGCTGATGGTAGGGAGAGAGATGTGTGCTTGCTGACAGGTTTTTACCCCGGCGTGTTTGCGTTTTTTACACGTTTTATTGAGAGGATGGCCGCGAAGCGTCGGTGCCATCGACTGTGGGAGACTTCTTCCTCTGAGCGTCTCACTGGTCGTGTTGGGCGCTGATCTGCGACCCACCACCACGCACGATTCGCGCCGACCAACCGCGGCCCCGTGCCTCCCTGCCCTGCCCTCTGACGCGCCTCCGCCTGCAAGAAGTATAGCGCCGGACGGCGTGTCATGCTCGCCGCCACGTCCCGGCTGCGGTGTCCCGCGTCTCACGCCCCCCCCCCCCCTCCCCCCGCAGACGCGAGGTCACCGGCCCAAGCGGACGAGCAGCAGTCGGGCCAACACGCCGTCGGACGCCGGCCGGCAGTCGCCGGGCGGCGGCAGCTCGTGCTCGGCCAGCAGCTCGTCCGACAAGTCGCGTGCTAGTTCGCAGCCGCAGCGGACGGCCTCGCAGGCGGCCAAGCGGCCCGGCAGCAGGCTAGACGCCGCCGACGTCAAGCCCGACAAGAAGAAGAAGCGCGCCAACTACGTGAGTGCCACGCAGCAAACGGGGGGGGGGGGGGGGGGGGGAGGGAGGGGAGACTGATGGACGACGGTGTCGGTTAGTGGCTTGGCTTTGTGTGCTGGTGGAATGTTTTTGATTTAAAATAACGGAATTTGTCTGTTTTACACGACACTACGTGGCTGATTTTTTACGTGGGATTAAAGTAAAGCAACTTCGTTTAACGTCTGTCGCCTTTCGCGCCGGGGTTGAAATGGCTGGGAAATGTGTTCCTTTAGGAAACGTTCTGGCCACCCCACAGCATTGCGTGACATCATGCTTTGGGCCTGGCACACCTGACACGGTGTGGGTCGCGCCAAGGCACATCACTCTGTCCCGTCCGGCAGACATCGGGCGACGACAGCCTGAGCGACTCGGCCAGCGACGCGGAGGCGGGCACAGACGCGCCCGACGCCGACTTGCCCTCGTCGGAGACCTCGTCGCCGTCGCTGGACGAGCAGCAGGCGGAGCTGGACGAGCCGCCGCGCATCAAGGCCGAGCCGCCGCGACCGGCCGCCGTCGCCAAGCCGGAGCCGGTGAAGCTGGAGCCGCTGCCGGCGGCCAAGCTGGAGCCGCCGGAGCCGGAGCCTGCCGCCGAGCCGGCGGAAGCGGCCGCCGAGCGCGCGCCGCCCGCCGAGCCGCCGCCGCCGCCGCCGCCGCCACCGCCGGCTGCCACCGGCTCCACCGGTTTTGGCGAGTCGTCCAGCGAGGAGGACGTGAAACCGAGCGTGGCGGAGCTGAGCAGAACGTTCCCGGTGGGAGGCGCCGCCGCCGTCTCACCACCATCCCCGCCGCCACCGCCACCGCCGCCGGCGCCCGCCGGCGCCGCCGCCGCGTCCGCCGCCGCCGCGTCTGCCGCGGCTGCCGCCGCCGACGCGCAGCCGCAGAATCTGACGGTGAAACAAGAGCCGCGCAGCGACTCTGAGGAGCCGCCGCGGCCGGCGCCGCCGCCGCTGACCGCTGTCAAGGCAGAGCCGCGCACGGAGACGGCACTCACTTCGCTGGCGCTGACGACGGCGGCGCCGGCGGAGCGGGTGCTGGCACCGCTGTCGGGCCTGCCGGCACACCCGGCCATGCCGCCGCTGCCGCCGCACCCGCCGCTGCCTCCGCACCCGCCGCTGCCGCCGCACCCGGCCCAGCCGGCCATGCCCGTATACCCGCATCACATGTACGGCTACCAGTACCCGTACCCATACCCGTACGGAGGCTACCCGGTGCGACCGGCGGCCGGCGCGCCGGGCGAGACGCTCGACTTGCGCAAGAGCGAGAGCCGTGAGACCACCGTGGCCAGCAACGCCGTGTCGGTGGTGACGCGCACCGCGACGTCGCACGCGACCTCGTCGTCGGCGACGCTGGCGCCGACGGAGCGCGCGTCACCGCAAGCATCGGCTTCGCTGTCGCTCTCGTCGACGGTGACCGTGAGCGAGCCGCGCCCGTTCCCGTACTCGTTCGCCGGCGGCTGGCGGTGGCGTCTCTTCCTCCGTCCACATCTCGTCCAGCGTCAGCGTGTCAGTGACGTCATCGGCGACGTCGTCAGTGCTGATGCCGCCAGCGGCGTCGGTCATCACGCAGGCGCCGCCGGCCGGGCCTCCGCCGCTGGTGGCGCGGCCGACGTCGCCTCCGGCGCCGGCGGCCGCCGCCAGCCCGCAGCCGCTGGCGCTGACGCCGCGACCGCCATCGACGCAGCCGCTGCCGCCGACCATCGTGCCGACGGTGACCGGCTTCCACGAGACGGCCGCCAAGCCGGCCGAGCCGGCCGACGAGGAGGAGGAGGCGGGCGGCAGTCCTCCGGCTGGCGCGGCCGCCCAGCCCCGAGCCCAAGCTGGAGGACTCCGAGTGTCACCGCAGTCAGAGCGCCATCTTCCTGCGCCACTGGAACAGAGGCGAGGCCAGCAGCTGCGCGCGCACCGACATGACATTCAAGCCGGTGCCGGACAGCAAGCTGGCCCGGCGCCGCGAGGAGCGCCTGCGGAAGCAGAGCGAGCGGCAGGAGCGCGAGCGGGCCGACCGTGACCGCGACCGCCAGCAGCAGCAGGTGAGTGGGCCCGGCCGCCGTCGAGTGGAGTGCTGGCGGTGGGTCAGCGCCGGTGGGCTGATGGCTGTGAGGTGAAGGATTGATCGGCTCTTTGCTTCGAGTGTTCGATGGCGATGTTTCCAGATCTCCAGATTTGTTCAAGTATTTTTGTGCCAAACGCGGCCTGTTTTGCACAGGTAACGTCATTGGTCTGTTTGCGCGGTCGTCCTTCATGCGAGGCGCTTGAATGTAAATGTGCCTCTTAAGCAACTGCCGTGCGTGATAGGTAAGCTGATAAAGAACAAGGCTGTCTCTCGTCATGCGTCACATTATCACGTCGCCGCAGCACTGTTACACATGCCAATTATTATTGCGCTTATCCAGCAATCCATGACCTGCTGACCATACGCCACGGTGGTTGTATCGTTTTTCTCCTTTTTTTTGCATTGGACGCTACACTTCAAGCGGCACGGCTCTTACAAGCAAAACAACACCGTCCAAGCCTCCTCATGACTTCTCACCCATACCTTACCGTGTTTTCAGCGTAAGGAGGGTGCGGAGAAGCGTGAGAAAGGCTCGCCGCGCACGCAAGGCGGCGCTGGCGCCGGCGCCGGTGCCAGCGGCAGTGGAGGGGGAGGGGGAGCGGAACATGACCGGCTGCCGGTGCGGCCGTCCGAGTCCGGTCTGCCCCGCCTCAGGTGAGCCCAGCTCCGGCTCTGGTGACACCTGACCTCCAGCTGATGTGCAGGACGACCGACTGAGCTCGGGCTGAGCTCCTGCTGAAGTGACACCTGACCTTCAGCTGATGTGTGTGACGTCTGGCTGAGCTGCGGCCGACCTGGCTGACCTTGCATGACTTGGCTTCGACTTCCCTTTCTTAACTCCCGACTGCCCCGTTGGTGATGCAGAGCAACGCATGCAGGAGCTTGGATCGGTTCGAGAAAAGAACAGAAACAAACAAAATTAGCGTTCAGTGCCAGACGTATCTGGGCCCTCACCGCTCAGCATGAACTTCAATACAGATAGTTTTCCTTGCATTATGCAAACGGAAGCCAATCTCAAATTTCCATTCCTGACTGAATTTTTTTCACGCGAAGGCTGGTGGACGCGAGTACCGTCGACCGTCGGTGACTGTCGCCTCGTTGCAGTGACTACGGCCGGCCCCTGTCTGTGATATCTCCCGGCGTGGCGCCCTACTCTTCGGGCGGCTTCTTACCGCCGCACATGGACCCCATGTACGCCATGGCGCCCGGGCTGCCACCTGGCGTCTACCCTCGAGACAGGTCAGTGGGAGGAGCGGCGATGCGGCTCAGGAGGAGCAGACGGGGACGGCGGTGTGGCTTTTGGAATAGGTGGCAGACTATAGTAGTTGTTTCGCTGGTGTGGGCTGAGCTCACTGAGCGCGAAGCTGTTGTTCATGGCGCTGTGTCGCTCTCGAGAGGCGGATCCGACCCTCTTATCCTTTGTCTTGCTTTATCCTGCATCCTCGCGACGCCCCGCTTGTCCGGGGTAGGCTGCGCGCGTCAGCCACGAGTGGGCCGAGAGGCCGCCTGGGTAGGCCGTATGACCCCGGCCGGGTACCCAGCGCACATGCGCGGGTTAAGTCTCGGCGGTTGGCCTCCAGGCGCATGTAGTCCTGCCCTGCCGTTTTCCACCCTCCTTCATCCCATAGCCCTGGAATGGTCATCCGTGGTCGAAAGGGCTGTAATGATAATACAAGTGGGGGCGGATGATCTGGTTTTACCGGGCGTTTTCTCACGGCCGTCCAGCGGCCAGCGCCAGCGTGCCGATCTGCTTGTCGAGGTCGTGCTCGCCTCGCCGGCGCGGCCGCCGCTGCGGAGTCCTGTCGTCTACGTGTCGGTGGGATCTCAGCGCCTTCTCCGGTCTCCAACAGGATGGAGATGGAGATGCTGGAACGGCGCGAGCGCGAGATCCGAGAACTCCGCGAGCGGGATCTGAACGAGCGGCTCAAGGAGGAGATGTTCAAATCGCGCCCGCTCGACCCGCACTGGCTCGAGATGCAGAGGTACGGCCGTGCGGCACATCCTCCCAGCGAGGAACGCTCGCCGCAGCTGCATGCAGGCCAACTACCCCCACTCGGGCCTAAGGATCATCGTAGCGAAGCTGCGTTCCGTCACGTTTCGCCTCTCAGGCTGGTCGAGTACCTGCTACGTCCTGTGCTAGGTACTTGGATAGCTCCAGCCCATGTGAATGTGCCGCGGATGAGGTCTGCGCCGTCGTCTCCCGTCACATCCCGTCACGTGTATCGTCCAGAGTATCACATTTCGCCAGCGGAGGCTGCTTGCCGTTCGGTATGACGCCCCTTACAAGAGCTGGGGAAACCTGATGCCGGAGAGACTCGTATCCCCATAAGTCAGCGGGCGGAAGTTTGCGCGCGTCGTGCGTGGGTTTTAAACTTAAAACACATATTGTGTTGGGTGGGACGATATGCGCGCATCTCTCACAGTTTGAGGACCACACATGCCTTGCGCGACGACTTCTGCACCCTGCGGCGTGCAGCACGTTACGAACTCTATTTTGTGGTGGAGTGGTGTCTGCATTTGGGTGAGAAGGGACGGTGGTGAAAGTATTCCGTGTCTGACGACGCGCCCTCCCGGCCCGGCAGGCGGCAGATGGTGCCGGGCGTGTTCCTGCCGCCGGGCGTCATGTACCCGCCGCCGCCGTCGCCGTCGCTGCTGTCAGCCATGGAGCGCGAGCGGCTGGAGCGGCTGGGCGGCGGCGCGTCCGTGCCGCTGCCGCCGTCGGACGCCGGCGACCGGCTGGCCATGTCGCTGGCCGACCCCATGGTCCGGCTCCAGATGGCCGGCATGGGCATGCCCGTGCCGCCCGAGTACCACTCGCACGCACACTCGCACACGCACTCGCACTCGCACGCGCACACGCACCTGCACCTGCACCCGGGCGACGCGGCGGCGGCGGCGGCCGGCGTGCTGCCCGGCCTGCCGCCGCCGCCGCTGCCCGGCTACGCGGCCCGGCCCGGTCTGCTGCCGCCGCGGCCCGGCGAGCCGCCGCTCTTCGCCCCCGGGTACCCGCCGCACGTGCCCCGCCACTACGAGGATCAGCTGGCGCAGGTGGGTGCTGCTGGCGGCTAGTGACCAGTGGTCGCTGCGTCGGGTCGGGTGACGTCTGGGGGCTGCGGTTTGGCGAGGAATGTGATGTGTTTGGCGGTCATCCGTCGTTTGGTGTTGTAGCTGCTCATGAAAACCTTATCACCGGTTGCCTCTCTGTGTGTGTAGCCTGTACCGCAGTTTGCCACTGCTGTTGCCGCCGGCACAACGCGGAATACGCTGGGGCTCATTACTTCCATCTCCGAGCGGTCAAATCTGGCAGAGTGAGCCGTGCCGGTGCCGTGCCCAGCTGGCTTGTGTGCGCTGCCGCTCCGTGCGCGTGCTCCTTGGCATCGTCTGACCGAACTTGACCCCGCGCGGCAGCTGTCGGCGCACGCGGCCGCCCAGGAGCACCTGCAGCGTCAGCTGCTGGAGCGCGAGCGGCTGGGCCTGCCGCTGCCGCACGCGGTGCCCACCTCGCTGCACTCGTCGCTGCTGGCGCACCACGCTCAGCAGGAGGAGTACATTAGGTCAGCGGCCGGAGGGGCGGGCCCGGGGCGGTGCGGGTCGGTGGGGAAGAGTGGACCGGGTGGAGAGGGTGGCAGGACAGTCTGGACAATGTCGGAGCTGGCCCAGGGTGGTGCAAGGCTGAGTAGTGTGGGGGAGGGAGTAGGGTAGTATATCAGCTCTGCAGGGCGGGGTAGAACAAAAACGGAGTTGAGCGAGTGTGATGCGAAGTTGGATATAATTACTTCATGTTCTTTTAGTGTGAATGACTCATATGAATGTAAATGACTCATAAACTAGTTCTGTATTTTGCCATGTTGGTCCATTTGTGTTGGTTTGTTGTCCACACTGGGCTTGAAGACACATTGTGCTATTCTATTTAAGCTTAATGCTGCGCCCATTGTTTATTTTTCAGTTATTTTGGTCTGGATTTCTGACAGATTTTCATCCAGACATTTGCCTGGGTCCGATAAGTGAATCCCAGTGTCTTGAACTCTGGTTCCGTCATTGGAACAGTGCGGGATCCAGGCGCTTGTCTGGTTGGACCACGTCCTACACAACATTCTTATATTGGTCTTGCACCTAGGAGAACCATTGTAATGACGGAATGCGTTTAAACGTCAATGGAGCTATATCGGAACTTTCGCCGTTACAGATATCAGCGAGAACGAGAGAAGAGAGCGTTAGAAGAAGCGTCGCGCGCCCCACCCAAGCCTTAGCAGGCCGGGCGGTGCGCTTATCGACCGCGGCTTTGTGCAAATGATTACGGCGTCCGCATTCTCCGTTCAGAGGTCGTGTTTGCTTTGATTATTTATACCGGGAGGTAATGTGCAACAGTGTCGGGGATCCGTCAGCGGGGTGAGCCGGGTTCGGCCGCGCGCTAGCTGGGCCGCGCGAGGGAACGGACAGTGCCTACGGTGAGGAGAGAGCGCTGGCGGCCGCAGGGACGTGGCGGCTGCATCTTGCCAGGCGGGACACAGCGCTGCGGGCTCAGAGCAGGCGCCAGATGCCTATCAAATACTGTGTTAGGTTAAACGTAATCTTGAGCGCTGTGTGGGCGGACGGGGGCAGCTGTTTCGAAAGGCTGTCGAATCTGTGGGGAAGCACGCATTTGCACTTGTTCATCACCCAAAGATCTTGTGAACGTCGGTTTTGCTTTGCAGCTTGGTGGCTAGTAGTGTGTGGTTGTAAGCGAGTGCATTCACTTGGTGTACCAATGTTTTGTACGAAGATCATGGTGTAAATACTTCATGCTAATATAGATAATTACTTACATTGACATGAGACAAGCGTCTATGCCAGCAATACGGTGAGGTCAAGCATGCGTAGATGCCCTTGGATGCCGCGAAGTCGCGGGTGCGCTTCCTGAACAGACGGCCGTCGGTCAACAGGCGGTCAGCGCGGACAACGGGCTACCCGTAGACTTGTGAGACGGGGACAGCAGACAAGTTCCAGCAGACGTTGTCGTGGCAACGTCTCGGAACGTGACCAGGGGGCTAGCGTCAATCTGGAAGTCGGTTCTCAACGCATCTTCGTAGGGTTAATGCTAAACATTCTCAGAAAGTTTGGGGAGGGCGTGCCCACTGACTGTCCCAATGCCTATGCCTTTGTATTGCATGGTGTGGTTAAGGATTGGTGGCATGGCAACAACTAGGTGAAGAGGAGACTTGAATCAAACTGGACGGCACTGGCAGGCGTACCGGCAGCGAAGTGCCAGCCGATATGACAGCCATCCGACTGGTTGGTTTGCCGTGGGCGCAAAATGACCGATTTTTCTGACGGGCCGCGGTCGGGTCACAGCCGGGCTGCCCGCCCGGAGCTGAGTTGGGCAGCAGCCGGGCACGTGCTGAGCAAGTGCAAGGACATCGGCGTGGCCTGAGCGGGTGCTGGGCTCCAGCTGAGGCGCTACCTTGCTCTTTCAAGTATAAGCGCCGCATACCAGCAGGGCACAAGTCCGTGCCAAGGATGAGCGCAGCAAGACAGCAGAGCAGGGTACATGATGGGTTCCACGAGGGCGCAAGCTGGGCTCTGCCACGGCACCGGCTGGGCTCTGGCACGGCGCAAGCTGGGCTCTGGCGCGGCACCGGCTGCGATCTGACAGAGTGCCAGCTGGGCTCTGGCTACGCAAAGCCGGGCTACTCAAGGTGGGGCTTAGCGTATGTTTTCTTTATCATCGGGAGCTGGTAACCCACGCAGTGCAATGTCAATGCATTGACGTAACATTTTTAGTAGCGGGTAAGATAATATTGGTATTGAATTCACAGTTCAGGTCCTCACCTGATCGAAGCGCAGGTCGTTTGAGTTGAGAAGCTGCGGTTCTAAGTCTCTGGCATTGTGTTGCCACAGTTTGGACATCACTCTTGCGCGGAAGAGGCTAAGCAAGCGCGTTGAAAGCTGATCACCCACATGTTTTTTTCTGAAATTCAGAGCACTCGTACAGTACCCAATATTTTTTTAACTTTGGGAAAACATTCTGCTTTTAACTGGGATAGTATGGTATTGCATAGACTTGAGTAGACTCTTTCACTACGTTTCATAGCAATAAAACTGATATGCCGCCTTCCTATTCCAAAAATGGAATTCGATGATAGCTATTGCCGCATAACTTTTATGGCGTTTGGGGCTGCACTTGGTAGCAATGTCACCGTTTGGGAGTGTCTGCAGGGACATGGCTGGTCTTGCTGGTCCTTGTTTCCAACCACCATTTGTTACCACCCACACGGCCTGCCACTAGCCAATGGCAGTGACATATGGTTCTAAAGTCGTCACCGGTTATCCGAAGAAGGTCGTTCCTGTCTACAGATTCGGCGCGGTGTCGTCAGTAACAGCGCCGTGTCACCAGCCCCAGTGTAGCGTCACGGTCTTCAGCACAGCGACGTTGCCTTCGTGGTGTCGCCATTAAAGACTGTGCAAATCCTACCAAATGATCATTTGATAGGTCATATATTTCTTATGGCCTGGAAATTCCAAAGATTAGTTCCGGCAGCCTCCACGCACAGTGGAACGAGATTTAGCAGGCGCCTCTCCTTTTGGAAAACACCTATCTTAAGCTGAGAGACGCTCCTGGATGTCCAGCTTTCATTCTCTGTAGTCATTGTGGCGGCACCAGCCCCAGTGTCGTGCGCCAAGAGCCGTCACAGAACATCAGCTCCGCTATGGAATCACCTATTTGTCCCGGGTGTGACGCTGGGTGCTCTAGCGTGGCATAGCGATCTCCAACCAGTCACCATTCCCTTAGTTCAGAGTAACGTGGCGGACTGCGTACGGTCAGCTCAGAGATGCAACTTGCGTCTGGTCGTTTGGTGCGCTTTGCCGTCAGTACAGGCGATACGACACTCCATCTAAGCCATTTATGTCCCAATAAATGCCGTGACGCTTGGCACATTGTGTTTTGATGTACCTTGACGCTTGTCTGGGAACGAACATGACAATCACGCGATGCGGACAAACTTGGAGGTTTCGAGAAGCATTGGCGAACAAAATAAAGTTTGTGGTTGTGTGGAATCGTGAAGAAAAATGGAAGTTTTGAGGAAGAATCGAGAAGAAGAGGGGAGTTGGAGAACAATTTAGAGGTCTGGAGGAGGGCCTTGGCAGGTGGAAGGGGGCACGCAGCCCACTAAAAGGCTCCTGGTAAAAAACCTCCTAGCTCAAACCCATTTTATTCCGAGAGGCTCTATTTTCCTCCAGTTCTGCCTGCGTTTGCGCTCATGCAGGGCACCGATGCGTTTTAGGGACTGGGGCCCCGTGGTTCATCCGGAGGTCCGGATACACCATATCTCGGCTCTCTTCCCGACGCTGACGTCCTTCTGACTGGAGCAGTTGCGCCGGATCGACGCAGGGGCCCTCACTAGCGCAAAAGGATCACTTGCCGGCACAGAGGGTCAAATAATTTGCACAGGGACCCGATTTACACCCAACGAGTCACGGGTCGAAACGGTTTGGAGGACTCTCGTTCGTTACTGGGGTCTTCTGTGAGAATCGGGGCCCTTGGTCTGTCTTATTGACTCATTATGCACCCTTTCACTGTTATCGGTCTCTATTCATTCTCACAGGGTCCGAACCAACGCAGAAGACCCTGCGATGAGTACCAAGTGGGTCTCTGGTCAACTCAGAGCCCCTCAGCGGCACAGTATCCCCTTTTACGCACGCTCTGTGGTCAGGGGACACGACGTCCGCCACAAGGGCCCCTCACTGTTTTAGGGGCCCGACCAATGCGACTTGCGAGATCTTCTGAACGGCATTCGTGGGCCCAGGCCTTATCCATGCTTGGGGAATGAGCCCCAGTCCGACAAAGGGCCGAATGTTGGTGGTCCCACAGAAAAGAGGGGATTTAATTGTCACAGGAGCCCCGATCGCCGCCAGAGGCCCTCTGACTGACATCCGAGGGCCCGGTCCTGCGGGCTGGGGACCCCTGATGCAACCTCCGGCCGGCCCTTTGGCCATTCGAGCCCTCCAATCGGGCCGTTGATCGTCGATCTCAAGGGCCATCTGGATCCCTCGGGACCGAAGGTGTCATGCGCCCCTTATGTCTGCTCCCTCCCCTGTCTGTGGCTGTAGGTGAGATCGCATCGGCGATGGTTGCGGAGCACCATAATACGGATCCCCAATGCTCAAAACCTTATTACATTTCCCAACTTGTTTACACTGTGGGGGTGTAGCCAGATCACATGCCACCAGATCACAGTGCATGTCTGGCGCTTGTAAATAGCGAAGCGCGGCCGCCCGTCGTCAACGCGCGAGCTGGTCCTGCCCAAACGGCGTTCACGCGATTTGTACAGCGATTCAGCATGGCGCTTGGCTGGCTGTCCGAGCACGGACAACGCCAGTCCACGCTTTCAGGATTTACGCAAGGCGTTCATCAATTCAAAACGACACCCGCTCAGTGACGGTAAATGTCAATCCGCGCCCGGCCGGGGGTCTGAGACAACCACGCACGGCTGGGGGTCTGAGACAACCACGCACGGCTGGGGGTCTGAGACAACCACGCACGGCCGGGGGTCTGAGACAACCGCGCCCGGCCGGGAGTCTGAGACAACCGCGCCCGGCCGGGAGTCTGAGACAACCGCGCTCGGCTGGGGGTCTGAGACAACCACGCACGGCCGGGGGTCTGAGACAACCACGCACGGCCGGGGTCTGAGACAACCGCGCACGGCTGGGAGTCTGAGACAACCGCGCCCGACCGGCGGGAGTTGACTTCCCCTGGGATCTACAACTTCTAGGCGCCGAATGGGAAAAACAAAGGCACCGTTTTAAGGGTGCCATCGAATCGTGAAGAGCCTAAACCACATTCTTGGCCTGAAGTCAGATGTAAGGTGACCAGAGGTCACAAAAGGTCAAACACGGTCATTCCGATATATTAAGTTAAAACTTATGTTAACACACCATTGAGAACACACCATATGTTAACACACCACACGTTAACACACCATATTATAAGACGGACATTGAGGGCACGGTTGTAAGCGTCAAGACTGTGGGGAGCCATTCCAACTATATTTGTTCCCCCACATGGTTCAGATCAAAACAAGTCACCGTTCGAAATTAGGCTACTAGTAAGTAGCCTACAAGAACGATACTTTTTCACAATGCGCTTCTGAGCAAGTTTATCTTATTAGTTGCAGATCTAGGACAAAAGTATTCCAGACACAAAAACACCATTTTAGCTTGATTTAAAGGTCACCTGAGGTCAACTTAAGTCAAATTTATAAACCATCCAATAGATAAAAATAGAAATGCTAACCGGGTCTATTTGACTAATACAAAGCCTTTTTGTGGTGAAACAAGTGTATTGTACACTAAAAGTGCTGAAGATCGCATAACTAGTGCGCATATTATACGTTGTCCCTTCGACTCTCGGCAATATATTTGTAATAAGCTGAGATCAGGTACGTTGGAACATGAAATTATACGTCATCAGCTTCACAAACATGATGAAGAGGTGGTTACACGCGCGGCGCTACTCGTTCATCTAGACTCTCCGCTACTGGCAACATAGGTCATTGACTTGCATGTTCTCACGTGACTTATTGTGACCTTATTATGAATTAGAATATCATAACATGCTTCCAGTTATTCAAAGTGTCCAAGATTGCCTTAGAGAACTGCATATGTTAAGCCTTGCATGCGTTTTTCAGAAGGTACCCATAGAGGCGGGTCTTGACCAGGCCAATATTTTATCCTCTGTGGTCATATAATGGTCGTGCATGTACGTTAGTACTCATTTGCTGATATAAAAATACTGAAACTGCACAAAAATACGTAAAAATTGCATTATTCACG